ACACTAAATACAATCGTTCGTGGTTGAGCAATTCGCAATATTCGGCGTGGCGGCTTGGTGGGGTGGGCAGGATGCCCGCAGAACACGTTATGCTCTCTTCCTACAGGCGAGATCCGGGCTTAAATAACCGCCAATTGCGCTAAGATTCGCACCTACAGTTCTATAGAGACCTTAGAAATGCCCTTCTCTATATATCTGTTTATATACAGCAGCAAAAGCAAGCCTATAAGGCGAATAGCTTTATAGATATTACCTGGAGGCCGGTCAGAGAGCATCTACACGAGAAACTGTGGCAGAAACAACAGCCCTTCTGCGCCGCATGCACTCGGGGCAAGCGCTCAACTGCAACACCATATTTTGGCGCTCGTAAGCCTCTTGCAGAGCTATCTGTAAATACAATTCAACCTTCAAAGGAAGCACAAAGAGAGAGGAAGGGCTGGAAGCGTCGGCATCGGCCGCCTAGGACTTCGTACGGCTGTTCTGTGTGCAAGATTCCACTGTGCACTCGAGGGAAATGCTGGGCCGAACACGTAGCTGCCCTCAACACCAAACAGTAGCTTGTATATAGCTATATACGTATAAATCAATTCCTTCACGTGTTGTGTAGATTTCATACTCAGGGGCTGATTCTCGGCTTCTGATTGGATGCAGCCTTATCGATAACGTAGGACCATTCTTACCGGACTAAGGGATACAGATGGCACTTACTGCGTACAACAGGGGCATCTACAAAACTCCTTCCACTGCTGCAAAAGCACATGGGATCCGGCCTGTAACATTGACATCGCGTATCAATGGGAAACGTCAATCTGCTCAGGATTCTCACACTTTTCAACAGAAGCTAACCACAGAATCTGAGGCCGCGATTGTTTGGTATTGTACCATGCTCATTGAACATGGATTCCCCCTCCAAAAAGAACATATTCGACAGATAGCATTGGATGTTTACAAGCAGCAACTTGAAGCTATTCCCATCTCTGAGTGGCCCCAGGATATTTCTATTGGAAAGCGCTAGGTTGACGCCTTCTTAAAGCATCATAACGTTTTCCAGGTGAAGTATACTTGGTCTCTTGAAATCGAACGGGCTCTTGTAAAAGGCGATATATCATCGGTGCAGCGGTTCTTCTCGGAGCTTCAAAACATCACAATTGAACACAATATTGAGCCCGAGGATCAATGGAATATGGACGAAACCGGTTACTCAATGGGACTTGCTCACGCTTCCAAGAAGGTTGTACTCCGAGGCCGCCGGAATATACAACCTCTCACCGCTGGCAATAGAGAATGGGTGACAGAGATTGTTGCAATCAATGCCACCGGCTCCACAATCCCATCCTACTTTATCTTCAAGGGCAAGCAAATTACCACTCATTTGGGCCAAGCAGCTATCAACACCATTGATGGGGCTGAGATTGGTGTTTCGGAAAATGGCTGGAGCGATTGTGGCCACGCTGAGGCCTGGATTAATCACTTTGATCAATATACTCGCCGAGATAGTCAATGGGAAGAGCGCACAATGAATGAGTTAGTGGAGGGAGAGAAATACGGCTTCCGGCTTCTTCTAATGGATGGCCATGTCTCTCACCTCTCCCTTGGTTTTATCCAATATTGTGAGGATCACAAGATAATTCCATTCTGTTTACCGCCTCATTTAACCACTATTCTCCAGCCTTTAGACCGGGTTCTCTTCTCCATCCTTAAGAAGAGCTATTCTGATAAGGTGGAGGAGTTCATCCACCGCGGAAAGACAGGAATTACCCGGTTCATTTTCCTTGAGGTGTATAGTGAGATTCGGGAGGTTATATTCACTCCTGAATATATCAAAGGATCTTTTGAAGTTGCTGGAATATATTTGCTCAATCCAGAGAGGATTCTTGGCAAACTCCGCAGTTCTTTGGACCATCAGCGCCCTAGTACTCCATCACCAATTCGAATGCAACTAGCACAGCTGCTTTCCTCTCCAATGCACTCCAGAACACCATCAAATGCGTATGATTGCTCCCGGTATCAATCAACAATCTCTCACCCTTCCACTACTCCAGCAGCTCGTAATTCTGTTACCAAAAAGCTTCTAGCTTCTCTCCAGATCTATGAGGAAGAGAATAGACTTCTTCAAGGCTTGGTAAAGGACCTCCTTACTACTACAGCACACTATAGTAAGCAGAAAAGGGAAATGAATTCAATACTCACCAAGTCCTTTCATGTTTCAACCAATCAAATCAAAGAGATTCTAGCTAAGAAGGAGGCAGCGGTTCAAAAGCTAAAGGAACAGGTGGAAGAGAGAGCAGCCAATAGGAAGAAAAAGAAGGAAGTAGATTTCCAAAAGAGAGAGGCCAAGGATAAGAGGAAGGAAGCGCGTACAATCACTGCAACCCTTCGGAAGGCCCGTGATAAGCTTTTGAAAGTATCACGAGCTTCAAAAAAGGCTATAAAGGCAATTGAAAAGGATCTAGGCATGGCTATTTGGAAGAACCAGCAAGAATATACGTGGGAATCGAATGCAGAGGTTGAGCGGCTTTCAGAGGCGTTGAATGAGGCTTCTAAAACAGCTGAGCGTGATCAAGAGATTGCGAATAAGGCACAAGCTAAGTGGCAAGAGTCCTCTAATAACACCAAGCTTCTCATTCAATTTACGGCTTCAAACACTCAACAAATAGAAATTGAGGATGATGAGGAAGAGGAAGAGGCCGGTAATGAGGCTGAGGATGATGAGGAGCTATTGGATGAGGAGCTGTTAAATGAGGATGAGGTTATGGAGAGTATTGAGGGCTACTTTGAGTGAATGTAATTGAGTATGGAATTGTAATTCAAACAAATCACATGGTTTTCAAACCTCAACACTACGCCAAGAACTCAAGGTAGCCAAATATACGTATATTTACAGCTTCAAGAAGCTAGCAATGCTGCGTGATGCTTATTTGTATAGTAAATGTTGCAGTTCAGCATCTTGTAGCATTTTAATGTTCTATCACGTGGCCGCACGGTTCAGGTCAAAAACCCCGGAGAGGTTAAATACCCCCTCAAATACTCTACCGTCGCTAGCGCGGGGAGATGGCACCCACGACGGAAAATGTGCCGCACTGTAAACCAGACTCAGAACTCGAAAAGTCTCCATCTGCAAATAAGTACATCACTTGAATGGCATGATGTTAAGTCGTACAATCTACGAACAATAATAAAGGAATGATCCTCTCAGAGACACATGTACACTTATTTTGCGTAGATAGATGGGATTTGGGGTTGTTGAGCTATGAATTAGAGAAATTGGGGAAATGCTAAAAGTGTGGCGGATATTCTAACGTGGGTGGGTGGGTATTTGGAGTCTGGAGTTTGACTGATGCTGCAGTTCCACAGTTCCCACCTTCCCTAGAAAAAAGCCCCAATTATAAATATAAAGTTAGCGTGTAGTAATATAGTAGAATCTACTTTATTTTACACACTAACTAAATAACCCATTTCTAGCATTCTATCCCCCTAATTCTTTTAGCAAACGTCTACTTCTTACGTAGATTGTTATTGCAGTTCTGCGCTTTTTCTAGATTTTCAGGAAAAGGGGATATAGAGTTAGTGTGTAGTAGGACGGGAGGATGACTTGGGTGTTCTATGTGCAGTGCAGTGATTATATAAACGTTCTGTAGCATACTATCTCCCTCCTACACATATATCAAACATGTACTTCTTCCATAGATAGTTATTGCAGTTCTACAATTTCCCTAGGTTTCGAAGGGAAGAGGTTGGATTGCGAATATTGCGCTAGTGCGTGTGTGTGTGTGTGGTGGAATAAGAGAACAAAATGCTTTATTATATGCGCAGTAATTGAGTAAACCTTTTCTAGTATCTTACCGATCTCTCTTATACGCCTAGTATAGACATTGTTTCCTTACGCATGCAAAATCCCTAGGCATCCTTCTCCCCTCCACCTCCACCACTCTTCTCCTCCTCCAAACCATACTTAGTATCCAGCTCCGTCCGGAGGGGAATATGCCTCTCGGTCGCCACAGCTACAAACCCAGTAGCCCCAAAAGCCACAGCAGCGATCCACACCGCTTTGAGTGCGTCCTGATAGACGGACAGCACCTCGTGTTGTACAGTGGGCGAAAGCACTTTGATGTACGATCCACTCACATACTGATATGCGCGTCCACTTCCCAGCTCCTGACGCACGGTGGCGTCGCTGATGCGAGAGGCGTGGCGGTCGAACTGGGCGTTGAAGATGGTGCCTGGGATTGTGACGCCCCACACGAAGCCGAAGCTGCGGAGGAACGAGTACATGCCGGTTGCTGCTGCTGTGTCGGAGTCTGGCAGTGAGGCCATGATGGCTGGTAGGACGGTAGGGAGGAGTAAGCCGCGGCCGATGGCATCGATCATCTGGAAGACGACCCAGACGGCTTTGGGGGTACTTCGAGAGAGCATAATGTTGAGGCCGGGTCCGATCATACCGAGACAGAATCCAAGAAGGTGTATTGGTCGGTAGTGGCCGAATCTCGACAACATGCCGCCTGCGACGGCTGCTGTGATAATCAGGAAAGCTTCGAAAGGGATGAAGTTGATGCCCGCGCGGAGAGGAGTGGTCTCGTGGATACCCTGGAAGTAGACGGGCCAGAAGAAGCAGACCCACTGGAGGAGCACCGAGGAAATGAAGTCGACGTGGAAAGCTGCTGCCGACGTTCTGTTTCCAAATATCCTCGAAGGCACAGAGGGTTCTGGGCAGAAGCTCGGCGGCATCGACTCATAGACGTGGAAGGCGGTCCAACCGCAGACTCCGAGTACAATGGGAAGAATGACCCTCCACGACGACCATGGAAAGACATCGCCACCGAATACCAGTCCAATCAGGAGAGAACATAGCGCGCTGATGAAGACAACGTTCCCAATCCAATCCACCCGTGCGAGTGCCTTGTGCCAGCTGGACGCTTTCTCGTGCTGCAAGCGAAGGAAGACAAGCATGATGACGATGATGACGCTGGAGATGGGGATATTCATGTAGAAAATCCACCTCCAGTCGGCTACGGCAAGAGCGCCGCCCACGACTGGGCCGGTGATGGCTCCGATGGCGCTAGTGCTCATGACCATGCCTAGATATTTTCCTCGCTCGCGGACGGACACCAAATCGCAGATGATGAGTTCCACGAGCATCATGAGGCCTCCCGAGCCTGCGCCTTGGATCGTGCGGCCTGCAACGAGCATAGCAGAGTTGGACGCACCTCCCGCTATGCCGCTCCCAAGAGCAAAGACGACAAGCGCAACGAGGAGGGGTGTGCGGCGGCCGAATATGTTGCATAGTTGAGCGCAGGGCGGCTGGACCACAGTTTGGGCGACGAGGAAAGAGTTTGCGATCCACACATATTGGTCGGCGGCGGACAACTCGGCCGAGATTTGCGGAAGCGCTGTTGCGGTGATGGATCCATCAAGAGAGGCGATGAACGTGATGAAGGAGAGTGAGACGAGAATGACGTAGAATCTCCAGGGTTTTTCATTCTTGACTGGCAGTTCAAACGTGGCAGTGGGCGACATTTCGTCAGAGAAGGTACTTTACACAATGGGCCGTTGGTGCAAAGCAAATTATAAAAAGGGTGACGAGGTGGGAGTGGTGTTGACCGAGGAACGCGCTAACTACTAGATGGAGCTAGAAGGAAAGAGGTCAAATGAGGCAATCTAATGTGTTGAGCCTACTGTACCCTACACCCTTCACCGCCCCTGCCGTGTCAATTCTTGGTTGCAGCCTGTGCTCCGAGAGAAATACGCGTTACATCAGGTCCCCTAATTGATTTGGCGACCATGATTGACATACAGCGGTGCTTTACCGTTACGAGAGACACGGCGTCACCATTCGTGCAAGGCAGAACTCACCCAATCAGAGTCAAATTGCTACTTCTCGTCTACTCTGCGTCTTCCGCCGCAAGCGGCATCGCCTTGTCAGAGTCGGTGATGAGGATGTTCCACTGCACACTCTTGTCCCAGCCAGCTCTCGGACTAAGGCGGACCTCGATATCGTCGTCTGGAATTGGAGTCACCTCCCACAGCCCGGCCTTGTCAGTCGTCAAATGCTTCCACTTCCCCTCCACGGGCAGCATGTCAAAGCGCAGTATGAGCAAAGCAGTGAATGCTAGAATCTCTGTGCTTGCAAAATGACGCCCAGGACACAGTGTGGTTCCTCCGCCAAACCCACGGAATGCCGTCGAGTTGTGCCGCCTTTCCCGTGGCAGAAAGCGACGGTGGTTGAATGACTGAGCGTCCTGCCCCCAGATGGACGTGTTCTTGTGCTGGACTGGCGCTGGAATCATGACCGTCGCCCCCTTTTTAAGCAAGAACTTGTCGTCTAGCATATGATCCTCCATGACCAAGCGAGTTGATATACCCACCGAGTGGAGTCTCAGTACCTCCTGTAAGCTCGAAAGCATCATGGGACAAGACATCTTTACCTGAGACATATCGAGCGTGAATATCTTCCTCACTTCGCCGTCCTTGGTCATGCTCGTATCCTCCGACAGGATACGGCTGACTTCCTGCCGACAGTCTTCCAGTGCCGTCTGGTCGGAATAGAGGTGGTAGACTAGCCAGAAGCAAGCAGGCGACGTGTTCGTCAGAATGGCAATGGCTCCGGCAGTCTCGAACCTGGCAATGTCCTCGAGGGGTATCTTGTGGTCCACACTGTGCTCGTATCGAGCTCTGATAAGTGCAGAGCCCTCCTCATAACTGCCGTTTTGGAAATATCCGATGAACCGCTTTGCGATGAACTCCCTGGCCTGGAAACTGTCTCGGGCAAGTATCGAGGGAAGGAAGCCCATCAAGAGGCCCATGAGGCCCTCCTGAAATTTCCTACTACAAGTCAAAAAGAGAATCGGCAGGTCTGCCAACGTCCGTCTTACCAGAATGAGTCGACAATGGCGGGATCTTGAAACGGATTTTGCGGTCCATACACCGAGTCGGTTGTGGCAAGGGTGATCTCTTGCTTGATGAAGTCGAACAGCTTGATCACTTTGGATGTCTGTATCCGGTCCAGTGACGCCATGACCTTTTGTGCCATGACCCGGTTCATGGCGTCGAGACCGGGGCCGGGAAAGAGCGCAGGATGTAGCGCTTTATAGTGGGTGACAGAGTACCCCCAGAATCCCTCATCGCCATTGACGTTTGTGTTCAGAATATCGTTTGCCGTCTTGCTCGACCCGCACACGTTCATAGCAAGCTTGGCCTCCAGGGGCGGGAATGCTAAGACTTTGTGCTGACGTTGCACGGACGGGATGAGTGACGTCGCGTTGATGACATAAAGTCTGGCTCCTGGCAGACGGATTGTGTAGATTGGTAGATTGTATCGTTCTCTACGGTGTTGTTCTGTTAGACATGGCCGAATCGAGGTCGCAGGCGAAACCAGAAATAGCCAAATTGGGACAGCTCCCTCGATACAAGCTTACCTGAGCTCTGTGTAGTACTTGCTCTTCTTTTTCGACAGGCCGATCATCGAGCTGATGAAGGGAATTGAGGCTGGCACTGGTGGTGGCTCTCTCGCATCCTGCGTGGCATGGAGGAGCACATGGAGGGCGCCATATATAGTGGCAGCCATGGTAATGGCTGCTGCGAGGGCCGTCGAAGTTAAAGCAGACATAATTTGCAGAGATAGATGGAGACAATCGTAAGGTGGAAGAGGCAAGGAACAAGACCGAGCGGGAGGCGGAGCTAGAGGGAGAGGCGTAGCTAGAAACAGCTAGCAAGAGCGGGAGGCGGAGCCAGGGTGGGTGGGGCTCACGCCGGCGACGCTAGCCAAGGGTCTCGCCGCCCGCGATCCATAAATAATACCATTAAACGCATTATATTGGTTTCCGAGAGAGTGGCTGCCTGCTGCGCTTAAGCAGCAGTTGATTGGCTGTCAATCCAGCAAGTCCGAATACACAAATCATCAAAATTCAGTGGATTCACACGATGAGCAACGATATTCTTTTGTATGCTACTGCCCAAGAAAACACTACCAGTCTGAGAAGTGAAAAACCGCAATCCAATATGCGTCATTTTGCGTTCAATTCATGTTCTCCAACCGGCTCAGCCCTCGCGCGAATCTTTCGTCTTCGACAACTGTGTCTCATCCTCTCCCGGGAACATGCGTGCGAGCATTCTGTCGATAGTGTTGATATGCGATTCTGGGTTGCCCTTGAACGAGCTTTGGTCCCCCATACCGTCGAGCCGATAGTCGCCGTCGAGCGACGATGTTCGATGGAAGGATCGAGTGCTGACGTAAGATTTGACCGTGACGAGGAAGTGCTTGCAGAGCTTCGCGAAGGGTGCCATGCACGGGATTATGACGCCAACGCTATATTCCACAGTACTTGCATCACAGTTAGCCAGGACCATGATCGCCTGGGTGGAGTCTTACGTGACAACGAGCAGCGGGACTTGTATGTAGGTTGTATCGCGCGACCACATGCTGGAGGCATCGCGGCTATATCCTCGTCTGCGATAGATCAGCCCGAGGATGCTCATAACGCAGGCCCTAAATGAGGAGGTCAGCTACATGCTTCTCCGCACAACCCACCCCGTAGACGTACCCAGCACCCGCGAGGAAGATGAACATGACGCCGACTTTCTGCCTGGGAGCCATCTTGAGCTTGAGAATGGCGGGAAGCGGGAGGATGAGCAGATACAGATCGTTGAGGAGGTTGACCACGCCCGAAGTAATGCTGAGAATCTGGATGACACCGGCTGGGTTGCCGCACTCTTGTCCGGCCATGCCAGCGAGGTAGGCCATATGGTCGGTTCCACCCTTTGGGCCGCAAATAACCCCATTGACAATAGCTGCCGCGAGATAGTAGCAGAGGCTGACACTGATACCGATATATACCAGCCATCGGATGTAGGTGAGGGGGTGGAACGCGTGGAAGATGACGCTGTAGACGGCGAGCTTGATGACCCATATAAGGAATGGCGCTGCAAGTTGTATGGTCAGGGAGCGCTATTGCAGATGTTAGCCCCTGTTAAACATGTTGATTGAATTGTGCCGCGGCACTCACCATCAGCACCGGTTTCGTCAGGTCTCCGATTGTAACTTCCCACGCATGATAGCCGTACGCTCCACCGGTCATCACTAAGCTCTGTCAGAGGCGACAGCGTCAATCGCCAGCCCTTGGAGAGACCATACACGCGATCTGAAGCGCTATCAAAGATATACCGGCAGCCTAAGTTGCCATAAGCCTAATGTATCGGAGCAGTTGAACGGCGACTCACCAAGCTTATTGCAAACACCGCTAGAAATCGTCAGCCGATGTCGTTTTCTGAGATGGAACGAGCATGCTCACTGTCGTCAAAGATCCATTTCCGTCGAAGATAACATCTGCTGTAGATTCTTATCGATGCCATGACCAGCATCGCCGGCAGCCCTATTGCGCTCGCGATTACTACGGGCTGTCCATGCCATTTCGGATGTTCAAAGTCAGGAACAACTCCCTACAAACGAGTTAGCGACTCTGCTTCGCGCATTGTAGGAGATAGCTGACCGGAGGAGGCTGCGTGAGTGGTTGTTTGCTGATCTGGGCCCAGGCTTCCTTGGACACGGCCATTTTGAGAAGGGTCAGAAAACGGATGACGCTATGGTTCAAAGATTAAGAAGGATTGTGGTGTTTCTATCTGACTTTGCAAATATGCGCGGGGTAGGCCTAGAGTCAGAAAAGGCTGGTGCGGGTGACCACTCATGCATCTTAATGAGGGTGGTCACCAACTTCACTGCTTCGGTGGCATCGGACCGTGCCTCATTCAGTGGTTGCATGTCGTAGGGCCTGCTGTGCCACGTTCTATATCGGGGAGTACAAGAATGAACCGTAGTGCTTCGTGGAACCCCCGAAGCCGCCCCCGCCCCGATGCAGGGCTGTACCGCAATCAATGCAAGTAGCACGGGCAAATTGTGCGCAAGACAGGGAGCATTCTATCGCTCGGCTATGCTGGGATCATATACAGTGTTACGTCCGTTCGAGTCCGCCTGTCGGGTCGTTCGCCCAGGCGATTTCGCTGGCACATTTGTGAGTCCCCGTTTCGGTTTCGCTTAACGTCCTTGCATGTGAACTGCGTACGAGGGCGCACGCCCCGTCCAGATGGCCGGGGTACACCGCTGCACACTTGATGCAACCATGCCACGAACGGCAGTTTGCGATCACGCCTCCAGAACGCCTCGACACAAATAGTCGAGCCGAAATGGACGCGGCTGAGGAACTCTCCGAAAGTAGAGCTTTGTCTGTACTTGGCACATGTCGCCACCCGCATGTCTTCTATGGTTCGAGTTCTTTGAGATGTGTGGTAGGCCTCCCATCCCGCTGAACCACCTCTTCGATTACCTCTGTGATAGCTTCTCTGCATACTGACCTGATATTGCAAAGTCAAACATTGACAATGGCTTTCTTAGTGGTGGTGTTCGCTACCCTCCTCGCCGTCATCTGCTCCATTGTATACATAATACGCATCGGATATCGGAGACGATCGCATGTGAACGAGTTACGCAAACGGGGCATCGTGAGTATGCTACTTCTGAATACTAACTGGTCTAATGATCTCGTAGGCTATAGCGCCCGGCTGGAGCTGGTGGACTGGACATCTACTTGTCCTAAAACGTCACCTGGATAGCATGCCACCGGATGCCAGCGTCTTTCTGGTTCTGCAAAAGCTTGCGGAAGAGCACAGCGACACCGAAACCTTTATTATTGATTTCTGGCCTGCAGCCACGGCATCGTTGATCGTGTGCGGCTCCGAATCGTCGCTTGAGGTCTCCAACAAGTACAATCTTCCAAAGCCGCAGAGCCAGGTTGAATTATTCCGACCCATGATTGGTGGCCAGAGCGTACTCACTATGAATGACGAGGACTGGAAAAGATGGAGAGCACTGTTCAATCCTGGGTTCAGTGCAGCGCACATGGCGAGGCTGATCCCGACCGTTGTCGAATCCGTCGAAGTCTTCTGTGAGATATTACGAGAGAAGGCTGGTGGGAGCATTGTCCAGCTGGATAGCTTGACAACGCGCTTGACGATGGAGGTCATTGCGAAGGTCACTTTGTACGCAACGCACTCTGAATCTTGAATGCCGAGTGACTGACTGTTGTGCAGAGATATGAACCTCGATAACCAGCGCTCCGAGCATCGCCTTTCGTATGCTTTCAACACTATTCTCAAGTGGAGCGCTTTCTGGAACACCTCGATCCTTCTCAAGCCAGTGAAAGCCGTGGTGCAGAAATATTACGGCCATGTTCTCGAATCGATCATCTTATCTGAGTTGGATAAACGTTTCCAAGAAATGAAAATGAAGGACGCGACAGTTGAAAAGCCCGGCGCTAATCGTCCAATATCCATCACTGCCATGGCACTTGGCGACTACATCACGCAGGAACGACAGAAAAGAATGGATACTTCCACGGTCACGAAGTTGGATCCCAGTTTTGCAAAGATTGCGTCGAATCAAATCCGCATGTTCATCATGGCAGGCAACGATTCTACATCGGCTACGCTAGTGTACGCGTACCATCTATTGTCACAATACCCCGATACACTGTTGAAGCTGCGTCAAGAGCACAACGAGGTATTCGGACTCCGCGACGACGCTGCGGCAATGCTTAAGCAGAACCCAACATTGCTGAACCAATGCCGATACACGCTCGCCGTCATAAAAGAAACGCTCCGAATATTCCCGCCGGCTTCGACGCAACGGTCAGGCCACTTTGGCGCATTTATAACAGATCGTCAGGGGAATCTCTGCCCTACCGAAAACCTCATGGTGACTATCGTGCACCGCGCCGTACATATGAATCCACGGGCGTGGGTGAAGCCCGACAAGTTCATCCCCGAGCGCTGGCTAGTGGATCCCGAAGACGAGCTCTACGTCAAGGCCAATTCAGGCGCCTTTCGGCCCTTCGAACAAGGGCCAAGGAACTGCATTGGACAGACTCTGGTCTATAATGAGCTACGGATCATACTCGTATTGACAGCGCGATCTTTCAACATCGTCCCCACGTATGATGAGTGGGATGCTATGCAGTTGGAGCAGGAATCGAAGCTAGGGAATATGATGCAGTGGGGGCGATCGAAGGCAGCGGTTCCTAAGACTGTGATGGGCGAGCGGGCTTACCCAACCTCCCGGGCGGGCGGGTATCCGGCTGATGGGTATCCGTGTCGTATTACACTTGAAAAGTCAGATGAATGATTTGAGATGTTCTGGCGACAGTAGAGAGCAGATTGTTAAGCATACAAATGTATTCTAGTTAGTTATTTCAATCAATTCGTCACTTGCAAATGTCCTTAAAGATGCAATTGTTACGGTATCCACCGAGTAGCCCTACTCAGTATTCATTTTCAGCTGCATATACACATGCCCTTGCGGCTCCCTCGAAGAAGTAAACTGAGTTTCTCATCATTTTCTATCTAATCTATGATACATACTCCGCAAACCTACCCCAATCAAAAGACATTATTCCTATACTCACTGTGATGGACACCATTGGTGGCACTCCCACCCTCCCGACGCCGCAACCTCACGCAAAAGTCCGTGAGAACGAAATCGCCTCGCGACTTCCACGGGCTATCTTTGTTGCAGAAGGAGATGTCGTATGTCCGGAAGAGCTACGCCATATTAGCATGCGCGATCTCAATGAAGCGAAGGGGTAATCGACCTCAACAACTATCTTGTTCAACTCCAAATTCGCTATATTGATCCCGAGGCATTTGGAGTTTCCGTGGCCAAACACGAGATCGAGGTCTCGTCGCATCCGCTTCAACTGTACCTCATCGTCAATGAGCCATCGCTCCGGATGGTACTCCTCCACGCTGTCCCCGTAGATATGGTTCAGCTGGCTTCCGATGCTATTGAACCCGATGTATGTACCTCCCGGAACCGCATAGCCGTTCAGTACGACTCCTTCGGGAGGAGCAACACGCTCTCGGAGTTGGGAGAAGACGGGAGGATATATGCGAAGACCTTCCAGGATGCAGGCCTGTAGATAGGGCATCTTTTTGATGGCCGAGTTTGGCACCTGCCTGAGAGAGTACTTGGGGTTTGTGGCAACGACACCGTCAACCTCATCTCGGAGCTTGTGTACGACTGATGCGTCAGCCACAATAGACTTGATGACGGCTTGAATTGCGTAAGACGTCGCACCAACGCCACTGGTTCTGCAGGAATAGTAAGCTTAGCTAATGATTAGGATGTGCTGTAAGACATACATGATGATGAGTACTTCGCTTGTGGCTTGATCAACGGAAAGACCCCGCGAAAGAAAGGAATCGAGCATGTCTTTCTTGGACACGCCGCTTTCTCGCTCAGTGCATCTTCTCTCTATGGCCTCGCGGACTTCCTAGTGTTCTGTTTAGCAACTGTTCGAGTGTCAGTTCTTGGGGATTCCTGCTTACCAGCATTACACGACCTATGCCGTTGGAACTGCTACCTTTCGGGAAGAGCCGTGTCCGGAACCAAGGAAGCTTCCCAACGCCCAGGAGAACCGTGGTAATCTCAGTAAGAACAGCGATATACTGTTGAAAGAGCATTCCGAGGTTCAGAGCTTTAAAGAAATCAAAGCTATCAGTTTCGTGTTCGATGCTTCCGAAAGACTCCCCAAGACACAGATGTGTGATCATGTCCAGAGTTAATAGAGGAATGGTGGTGGACAAGTCCAGATCTGCAATCTTGTCGTGTGCGGTCTCAATCTTTCTTTCAATCATCTGAAGGTATTGTGCCATGTACCCATCCATTGTAGACTCCATATCCTGGATGTCATTGCCAGAAAGCTGCCTCACTTCAGCATGGAAACAGTAGAACGAAAGCCGAGACTAACCCCAGGCGCAAGAATGGCACGCAACTGTTGGTGCTTTTTGGGATCTCGCTCAGAAACCACATTTGATGTGAATGGATCGAGGCGCAGGCTGTCGAACCAGGGCCCGCGCTTGAATCTGGAGCCCACTGCAAGAACATCTCGCGTGGTATCGGGATCACTGATAAGAATGCTGTTGGGAGCAATGCGCACAACGGGTCCTGACTTTCTCATGAGCTGTGTATCTCTATATCGACCGCGTGTTAAAGCTGCATACCGTACTCCCGATGCAGACGAATCATATCGCGGTCAAGTTGCGATCGCGAGACAAGCCTGAGCCACCAGAGACGTGTCCATGACGCCAACTTTGGACCTGGGATTCTTGACAGAGGGAAATTCCATTTGTAAAGTATTTCTGAAAAGGCCCATAGCTTGAACCCAACAGCTAGCAGATATACGGGTGCCTGGATGAATAGCGCGATCATTGCAACAATTTTCATGGCGATTCGGAAGGCGGCTGCGGTATTGAGACGGAACAAGAAGTCTGTGAATGTTGGAAGTCGAGTTTGGCGATGGTTGTATCTGGAGTTGCACGTGCATGCACGAACGAGGCTCTGTGGTCTCCCTTGTTTGCCTAGCTAAGCGCACCCTGCCAAAGCTGAAAGGCG